TTCACTGCCTTGTAGTTCGCCTTTTGCTCGTCCATCAACTGCTGCGCCATTTGCTCCAAAGACCTCCGCACTAGTTGTACACTGGTTGATGCGGTGGTACTGGTCCACCGCCCGACGAGGACCCAGCCGAGTCCCCGAAACCAAGCGTGCCGGCTCCGATCCGGCTACGCTTCCAGCTCTCGTCGAGTCCAGGAGGCGCTGATGGTGGCGCCGCGTCGGCGCTCCACCCCGTGCCTGAGGTTCTTGGCGCCGTCTTGTCCCTTGCCGCGCCTGGGCCCCACCCCAGGCATTCCCTTTGCCGCGTTGCCCCCAGGCCTCACCCTGGGAGCGCCCTTGCCAGCGCCAGGGTTGTAAGGGCATTCGTTGCCCCAGTGACCCCGTTCGCCGCAGAGGCGGCACGCGGCCCGAAGAAGGGGCGCGTTCGGCGCGCTGTTTTGTGCCAAAGGCTTGTTGTTGTGAGCGAACCTGCAGCTTGTGCCGAAACGGCAGTGACCGCTCAAGTAGAAGGAACATGGGATCCATGTTTCGTCCGTCTTTGCCCTTGTTCTTGTGCTTGGTCTTGTCCTTGTCCTTGCCTTTGTCCTCCTTGCCAGCGCGTTCGCAGGCACTCTTGTGTTTTGCGGTGAGCGCGCGTGCACGGAGGCGGCGCCTTCCCCAGCTTTGTGTTCTGCCACCTGCAAGATGGCGTCTGGGTCGTTGGGCCGAGTGAGTGTTACCACGTCTAAAGGGGTCTTCGAGGCATCAGTCTTACCAACCAGGTGCCTCAAAGAGCGTAGCGCTGTCTGTTTGGAGGGCGCGGAGCCGACTGCGCTCAGTTCGTCCTACTCGGCCCGCCACAACCGCAAAGCATGCTGTAGCCTGCTCCTGTCCGTCACCGGTTCTGGATATGTGAACCTTTCCGTGGCGGGCCTCTATGTGCGCGGAGTTGAAAGCCAAAATGGCATTCGTGAGAGCAGCGAGCATCGCGACTCCGTCGCTGTGGTCCACGCGTGCGAAATAGAGACCAAGGTCCTCATGCGAAATAGAGACCAAGGTCTTCATCCGCCGCACTGCAGATCTCAAGCGCTAGCGCCTTGTTCGCTTCAGCAAAAAGGGAGATGTTGTGGACAGGTCCCAGGTCCAAGCGCGGGTCTCCCAAGACCTCCCTGACGGCGTCTGCGAAGCCGTCCGCGTGCAAACCGCACCAGCCGAACAACTTCGTCTGTAGCCACGCCCTCCAAGCCTTTACGCTAAGGAGAACGGTTGCGCTCTTCGGGAGCGTTGGCAGAGGGTGTTTGGCATGGCTGCTCTCGCCGCCGCCGCCGCCTGAGCGGACGGTCGTCAACTCTCGGGCCACGTCGGCAAGCTCTCCCCCAACTGGGCCATGAGGACGGTGTTCGTGTCCGTTGCTGCCGTGGTCCTTTGTGTGGTCGCTGGTGTGCCTCTGTAGAAGTCCTGGTACGTTGTCTGTCTACTAGGCGTCCTGGGTAAAGCTCCTGGCGTCGCTCCTTCAGCCGGCGCCGGGGCTTTGGGCCCTGTATGCCGTCGTTGGCGGCGCAGGGGATGGAAACAATCGCGTAGACCATCGCGAAGGTACTCTCGAATTCAGCCGATCAGCAGCAGGAGGATCATCCAGATCAGGATCGCAATCGAAATCAGGTATTGGAACATCCCTAGGATCGATCGCCATCGTTCGCGCGGGGGGCTCATAACCTTCGGGAGCGCGCGAGCCTTTTGCGGGCATTGAGCCGCCACGCAGTACGGCAGCAACCCTCCCTCCCGTAGGGGGGAGGGGGAGGAGGGGGAGATGGCGGGGGCAGGGCGCAAGAGGGGGGGAGGGAAAGACACTGGGGTATCCTCCTCCTGCCCTTCCTCTCCCCTCGGACCGGCGCGCAAGGAACCCGTTTCCGTCGGGACTGTGGCCCAGCGCCGACCCAAGAAATCCGAATGTTAACTTCTGAGCGCGTTCGGTTGTTACCAACGCTTGGTCTTCTGGTCGCTGTTCCCCCGACCTCTCGGGCCGATGGACGTTTCCGACCTCGGTGTCCAGCGCTCGTTGCTCCCCAGTGGGCGTTGGCGTTTCCCAGCGCACCGTGGCAGTAGAGATCCACCCGGGCATCCTGAGGGCCCAGGGGAGCATCAAGAAAGCTGGCAGCCCGCCCAAGGGCCCGAACGTGCGGAAGGTCATCCAGAATCTTTTGATGTTGGGCGAGTACCAGGCCTAGCCCCAGGAGCGAAGATACAGTCAGGAGCGAGGCCGTTTTCTCAGCGCTGCCGCGCGAGTTCCGAGGGGGTCCTTCCCCATGCAGTTTCTTTTTGTCGGACGTGCTTTCAGGGATCCCGAGGCTGCAGAACTCGTCCCCCTCCCTGTCTCACATCGAAAATGTTGAAGACTTCGGGAATCAATGTTCTCTCGGAGCCAGGGGTCTCTCGAAATACGCGGGCGATTTCGTTGAAATGACACTCGCGTGAGCGGTGCCCCCATCGGGAGCTCCACCGAAGGCCCCGGCGGCAGGGTCCGCATGCGTCCCCCCGCGCATGTCGGCACACCCCATCACGAGGATCGCAGCCCCATAGGGAGCTTCTCCGAAGGCCCTAGGGGTAAGGTCCGCATGCGTCCCCCCGCCCATTTCGGTACACCCCTTACGAGGATCATTGCGCCATCGGGAGCACCATTGAAGGCCCAAGGGGCAGGGTCCACATGCCCCCCCTCACCATTTGCTCCCCCCCTCGCGAGAGCCATGCCCCATAGAAAGCTCCATCGAAGGCCCCCGTGGCACGGTCCGCGCGTGTCCCCCCCCCCCCCCCCCGCTCATTTCGGCACCTTCCTCGAGAGGATCGTGGCCCCATAGGGACGTCCGCTGAAGGCCCCGGTGGCATGGCCCGCATGCGTCCCCCCGCCTATTTCGGCACACCCTTCACGGGGGTCGCGGCACCCACAACGCGGTACCCACAACTGCATACGGTTTGGCCGTTGGCCAGAGTCATTGTAATGACGTTGGCGTGGGCGGCGCATGAAGGTCAGTCTTCGAGAGCCCTCAGCACTTTCCGATCCTGGAGCTTGTTGGCCCAGAGGAGAGTCGTGCTCAGGAGGCCAGAACCATTGAGTGCCAAATCAGCGGTTGTGCTCTTGCTCGCGTGGTGAGTGCAGACACATTTTCATCGGCCGTGACGGGTCAGAACCCATAGACCCGAGTTCCAGGTTTAAGCAGTTTCGTTGTCTTGACCTTGTGCTGGCCACGGAGCTCACGTAGGGGACGAACGGATGAATCATCTTCAGCATTACCATTGCAATCATCAAGCTCATATTGGCACGTCCCTTGCACGCTTCGTGGCCCCATAGGGAGCTCCACCGAATATCCCAGTGGCAGAGTTCACCCGCGCCCCCAGGCCCAGTTTGGCAGACTCCTCGCACGTTCCGTGTCCCTGCAGGGACGTCCACCGTAAGTCCCACCGTCAGGGTTCACGTGCGTTCCCAGGCCCATGTCGGCACACCCCTCACACGTTGCGTGGCCCCATAAAGAGGGGTCCGCCGAATGCACCAGAGGCAGGAGTCACATGCGTCCCCAGGCACCGCGCAAGGGCACGGCAACGCACACTGAAAAGGTTCACTTGCGTCCCCAGACCCGTTTCGACACACCATTCAAACCCGTCGTGGCCCCATGGGGAGCCTCGCCGACGGCCCCAGCCGCAGACTTCATATGTGTCCCCATACCAATTTCGGCACACCTCTCACACGTGCCGCGGCCCCACAGGGACTTCCACGGAAGGCCTTGTGTCGTTGGTTTCACATGCGTCCCGACGCAAATTTCGACACATTCCTCAAGCAGTTCGCGGCCCCACGTGGGGCTCCACAGAGAGGTTGCGTGGCATGGTGTGGACATGCGTCCCCAGGCCCGTTTCGGCACACCCCTCACACGTCTCGTGGCCCCACATGGGGTCGACTAGGTTCGCACTCGTCTACAGGCCCATGTTGGCGCACCCCTCACACCCTTCGTTGGCCCACAGGATGATCCACCGAACGACCCAGTTACAGGGTTCGCATGTGTCCCCCGCCCAGTTCGGCGCACCGTTCACACGCTTCGTGGTTCGTGGCCCAACAGTGAAGGCTCCTGTGGCATGGGCTCCCATGCGCCTCCCCGCCCGATTCGGCACATCTCTCACACGCTTCGGGGCCCCACGGGAAGCTAAACCGAACACTCTTGTGGCATGGGTTCCCAAGCGCCCCCCGCCCGTGCCGGCGCACCTATCACACGTTTCGTGGCCACACAAGGCTCTATTTCGGCGCACCCGTCGCACATTTCGTGGGCCCGCATGGAGCTCCACCGAAGGCTCCTGTGGCAGGGATCGGTTCCGTCCCTTGACCGCTTTTGTCTAGCACCCGCAAGCTTCGTGGCCCAACATGGTGCTCACCGAAGGCTCCTGTGGGAGGGTTCGAATGCCTCCGCAGGCCAAGTCCTCACACGTTCGTGGCCCCACGGCTCTTGTGGCAAGGTTTGCGTGCGTCTCCTGACCATCTCTGCGCACTGCCCACACGTTTCGTGGCCCCATAGGGAATTCAACAGAGGGCCCCACTTGCAGGGTTCGCGTGCGCCCCTGGGCCGCACACCCTTCACACGCTCCGTTGCCTCAAAGGGAACCGACGGTTTTTTGTGGCAGGGTTCGCATGCGTCCCCCGCCCAGTGCGGCGCACCCTTCACACATTTCGTGGTCCAATGGGGGGCTTACCCTTCGTTCGTCCCAGCTGTCTTGCGGTATTTGCAACTGAAAATGGTGGGGGGGTTCGCCAGGATAGGTTTCGGGGAGGGGGTCCGCGTCAGGTAGGCCTATCGGACGAAGGCGATGTCGCTCCAGGACGCTTCAGGACGGCGTGAAATATGGACAATACGGTGTTACACCACCTCCGTGCCCAGGCAGGGCCACCTATGGCCCTAATATTGTGGTGGGGGATCGATGCCTCCAGAGTATATCATACCGCTCCGCGGCGCCAGATACATCCCCCAGGCCCGCCAGTTTTCGAAACTGTGTCAGATCTGCCTCGGTCCGATCTGATCTTCGTCCTGGTCTCGCAGTGCCTGCGGTCGCGCGGAGGCCGCAGAGGAAGCTTTGCCCGCCGCCATGATTTGGGGCGCGGGCAAGGGCACGGGCGATGGCGGCGGGTGGAGCGGCGGCTGCGGCGGCGGCTGGGGCGGCGGCTGGGGCGGCGATGCGGGCGGCGGCGGTCGGAGGGCACCCAAGATTCGCCTACACCGATCTTGGGCCCAGGCTCGGTGTATGCGCCTCCCTGCCCAAGCCAGGAGGGCGTATACAACGCCCTGGGGCACAGGAGGAGCCTGGCCAAGACTGGTGCAGGTGTATAGCTGGCGCCCTCCCAGGATGGGGCGGCGGGGGCCCCGGGGGAGTGATGGCCATGATGGGCCCGTGGAGCATGAAGGGCAAGAAGGCGCGCGTCTTCGGAAGCGAGCGAACGCCCCTTCTCCTCGCCCGCCCAGTGCCGCTTCTCATCGCCCTCCCTTTCGCCACATGTGCGGCCTCTCGTCTTCCTACCTCTCGACCCACTTGTTCGTAAACTCGTTTTTGCTGCGTGACGTGGGGGGTCTTGGCCAGTAAGGGCTCTGGATGCTTTCAGAGGTCACTGGAGTCGGGGTCAGCCAATCCCTTCTGGCTGACCCGAGTTTGGGAGCCACGTGGGCCAGATTCTCCATTTCCGCCCTCCGCTGACTGGGGACTGGGAGCTATTAAGTGGCCAGCCGGGCTTCGCGACGGGGCCCTGGCCGACGTGGGTTTGTGACGACCCAGGCTAGTGCGTCCCGATGGAGGCACCACGAATAACAGACGCGAAGCAATAGTTGTCACCCTCTTCCATTTCCTCCCAGACCTCCGATGTTTTTATCTGTGTCGAGGGCCCCAGGGATCCCTTAAAGGGCGCGTCCTGTGGCCACAAGAGGAATTACACACCCAATCCTCGGGAAGGGGTTCGAGGGGAGTGTGTTGCGATCTCCCACTCCCCCAGTGCAGGGGGGCAAGTGGTTGTCGTCTCTCACCCCCACCCTCGCGCCAGCAACGCTGACGACGACGACGACAGGCGCGTCGTCATCGTCGTCGTCGCCGTCGAGCATGTGTCTCTAGAGATTAAGTGTTGCTGATATATGGGAACGGTTCCGGACGCTCTCGCAGCCACGCCGGTTGCATTGTCTTTGACAGCGATGGTTCCGCGCGAGCCAAGGCTTGGTTCCCAATCTGGCTTGTTGAAGGCCCAATTGCGACGACTAATTTCGGTTCCAACTCGATGCTTCCTAGCAATCTATTCCAATGCGCCCTGGCCAGACAGCCCCCCCAACTCAGGAACGGCACTCTCGCTCCAGACTTTCTGTCAATTCAGTCAAGTGGGTAAGGGCCAATTGCGACGAGAACAGCTCCCGTTAGATATTTCTGCTTTCGGCACTTCCTCGGAATTTACGCGCGTGCGCCATGGTAATACGATTCCCGCACTCAAAAATTACGCTCCCGCTCGTTTTCTCCACAGTGTGCACTTAGATCTGAGACGCCCTCGAGGCCCCCAAACTCAAGAACGGCGCTCTCTCCCGAGACTTCCTCGCAATTCAATCAAATTGGTGAGTTGCCCGCGGGCGCGATGGCTCGCAACTGGTCAGGGGGGGACGGTGCGTACACAGAGTGAATGGCTGAAATCATCTCCGCAGAGCTTGTATGAGAAGGAGCTCCCAAGAAAGAGGGAGGACATACAGGCATGCTTAGCGGGCAGGTACAAGGGAGAGGGAGAAGCAAATGAAGGTCAAAGCAGCTTGTTAGCAGTTGGCAGGCCTAACTAAGAGCAAGAGGGCTCGTCGTTTGCCGGCAAGTGCGAGGGGAGGGGAAGAGGTGTCGGGGTTTTGTCGACCCCTTCGTCCCCCTACTCCTTGGGGGGGGGATGTTCGTAAATTCCCTCCCCCTTGCGCGGAGGGAGGAGGGAGGCTGTGCTGTGCCGGGTGGGGGGGAGGGTCCTGGTTTGGGAGCCACCCCGCGATTTATTTGTCAGCCACGCGCGAATGAAACGCACTCCCTCCAACCCCTTCACGGGGAGTGGTTTTTCATTTGGAATCGTTGCCTTTGACGGGACCAGGGCCCGAAAATGGTCTCCTGATGTCAGACATTGCAGACCACAGAAGGCCAGAAGGGAGGACGAAGAAGACTCGGCACTTCCGCCCTCTCCTCCGACTCTGTGATTCTCGTTCGTGTCCAAGTCCCCATGCAACACAGTCATGATACCTTGCGTATAATGTTTGTGTGCGGTCCCGAGGCCTGGTGAAGACTCCCTGTTGCGACTCGCTTCGAAGGCATGAGAAGGCATGGTTCCTCCTCCTCCTCATTCTCATCAGTTTCGTTTCATCTGCTGTGCACTTCTTGTACCCTGGTGCATGTTATGGGCATCTCGCTCCACATCCGGACACCTCGCTGTCGCTCGTGGGCGAAAAGGTAGTGTCCTCATCCGCGGCTTCGCGGGCTGCGCCCCTGGGCCGCGACGCCGCAGATCCGGGTCGTCTTCTCGGGGATGCCCCGCGCGGAACGTATCCGTGCGACCGCGTATCCGCGGGATCGCGGCCCGGAATCCAGACCGCGAGGGCGTGGATGTGGATACGTTCGCCGTTCGTGAGTCGCGTTGGCGTAATAATATTTGGGGTGAGTCGCCGCTCGCGGTCGCTCGTGTGGAGCTTGTCAGCAGCTCCCCGCTGTGCTCCTTCCTCTCCTTCCCCTCCCGAGTTCTCCGACTTCCCTCAGTTTTTCCATGCCAGGTCCGCTGCACAATCCCGAGCCGTTGTTGTGACCGTCCCAGGGGCCCGGCGAGAGCCCCCGAAGGTCGAAAACGGACCAAAACCTTCCATCGCGATTTCGGTCACGACGCGAGCATTTCTGGGTTCCGTCCCCACCCTCCTTCCCCTCGCGGCAGCGAAGAGGCGCGGGGCGAAAGTGGTCCTCGTCGGGGGGGGCGGGGGGGGCTGGCCGCTCCTCCCCCAGAGGGTGGTGGCTGCGTGCCCACCCTTGGCCTGTGCGGCGGCTTCCCGAAGGGCATGGGCAGGGGGAAGCCCTCGCCGACGAAGAAGGCAGGCGCCGCCGCCACATCGAGAGAGGGAGAGAGGGAGTCAGGGACCAAAAGAAAGAATCCCCCCTGGCGGCGCCTCTGGCGCAGCCCCTGGCGCAGCCCCTGGCACAGCCCCTGGCGCGGCTCCTGTCGCGCTCCGCGCGCCAGGGAGAGTGGTCAAGCGCCGATCCAAGAAATCCGCGAGGACCTCCGGCAGCTTTCGTTGATGAGTTATGGCGTTTTGTTTTCGTCTAGATAGGCGGCGGGGGGGAGGAGGAGCAGAGGTTGTCCCTTCCTCGGCGCGGTAGCAAAGGTTGTGACCCAGGCCGGTCAACAACAACGATTCGGGATGAAAAAAGCCCCAGGGGAGGGGTCGGAGCCCAGGGGGCCCATGTCACGAACAAAGTGTGACGCCGGGGGAGAGGAGACGACAAAGAGGAGGCGGAGGAGGAGGAGGATGAACAGCAGGAGGATGATCCAGAATGGAGAGCCGACGATGTTTTCGGAGTTTGTTTATCTGTTGCCTGAATTCTCGTAGGCATCCAGAGGCCTCGGGGGACCTTCAGAAGGCTCTGAGGCCCTTGTTCCGAAGACATCTGGAGAGCTCCGGGACAAGGGGACGGTTAGTATCGACGATTGAGAACTCGCACGTTTTGGGGGCATTATTGTGCCTCTCAGGTCGCCCTCGCGGCCACGGCTGCATCTGCATCGAAATGTTGGCCGAAGCGCACCTATTACCATCCGTCGCGACCAGAGTCATGGCGGCCACTCTCTTCTCCAACAGTTTTATGAACGCGGGGACCTTTTGCCAAGAAGCAAACACGACGTCGGATGTCAAGGTTGCGAGAGAGTGGGGGAGGAGGGGGAGGGAATGGATAAAGAGGAGGAGGAGGAGGAGGAGAAGGAGGATACTGGCTGGGGGAAGAATTGATGCGATACCCCCTCCCTTTGCCGTCCTCTCACTGCCCCTTCCCTTCCTGTTCTCCCCGGGTCTCTTCCTCCCCCACCCCCTCCATTTCACCTTCCCTTCCCCCACATCTATCCGTTGTGGGGCTTGGACCAGACCTTGTCCGAACTGGTGCGCTCTCTTGCCTTCCCCCCTCGTCCCCGTCATCCGCTCCACCCCTCCTTTCCTCCCTTACCTCCGTTCCTTCCCACCCTCCTTCCCCCCGCCCGCCTCCCCTTCCACACCCCTCCTCCCTCCATCTCTCCATCCGTCCCTCCCTCTCCTCCTCCTCCATTCCCCCGACGAGGAGGGGCAGGAAGGGGGAGGCGAACGACGAGACCAAGTGAATACAAGCTGGATGGGGGGACGAGGACAAGGAGGACAGGAATGGGGGGGGGGGAGGAGGAGGGGAGGGAGGACGAGAAAGGGGAGGGGGAGAAGGAGGGCAGGGAGCGGGAGGAGGAGGGCGATTTCCGGGGACTAGACGCAACCACCAAGCTTTTCCAGAGCCACCGTGGACCCCCAGAGTGCTGTACAGACTTTGGCCAAGAGCGCCGCTGCCTGGGCTCTGAGTGGATCTGCTTTCCAAGTCTTCAGGGCACGATCCCCCTGTGCTTCCCAACGCACGCACCTGATGCGGCTCATCATCATCATCCCCGCCCCCCCCATCCTCACCCATTCCCTAGCAGCAACACTGCTCCGACGACTACCGCGAGTTCGACGAGTGGCTCCGGCACCACTGGCTTGACGACGCTGCACCGCACGACTGCAACATCCAGCAGCTGCAGGTTTACGACGACGACCACGAGTTTGACGACTGGCCCTGACGCCATCGGAACGACGGCGCTAAGCGGCACGACCGCGGCGGCCATCAGCTCCAGGGATACGACGGCCACTGCGTTTTCTACGATTGGCTCTGGCACCGGTGGCACGACGTCGCTGCGGCATACCCGCGACCGCCAACAACTCCATGGATACGACGGCCACCGCGTGTTCGACGATTGCCCTCAGTCGCAGCGGCACGAAGCTGAGCGGCGAGTCCACGATGATTAGCAGCTGCACGATTACGACGACCACAAGTTCGACGAGGGGCTCCGTACTGCGGGCCACGACAGGCCAGCGTTCAGCAGCGCCACGCTTTGCAGCACCTGGGACTCTAACCATCCTCGGGTGCACCAGGCTGGCTACAGACAGCACGACACCCAACCGCACGTCTCCCACAACACGACGCTGGAATCTCCTTTGGAATGTATAGGGTGGTGCTCGGGCCACTCACACGGTGATTCGCATCAATGACCTCTCTCCAGTGCGTTGGTTTTGGATTGCGCTTTCTGGGAGTGCCTTATGGGGTGGTGTCTAGGCCACTCACCGGTGCATCGTGTTCATAGACATCGGATTCGCCTCCTGAGTTCGGCCTGCTTGTCCCTTCCCCATTCTTGGGCCTCCCTTCCTCCTCCCTTTGCTTTTCCTTCTCCTCCTGTGTCGTTCGGTCACGCGTGTACTAATTTATGTAGTGCAGTCGGGCTCTTTGCCCAGCTCGGTGCTCCCGCCCACTCAGAAGCCTCTGCCCCTCCGTTCCGCGGGGGTGGACGAAGCTAGTGGCTTCGGTGCGCTACGAGCGTCCTACTGGGATGGGACGGTTAGTATTGTACGAGTGTGGATGGTCGTCCAGTGGAGCCCTTGGCTGTGACCTGGCGTCCATTAGATATTGTTTCTCCAGCGCCCTGCCCCCTTCTCTTCGCGTTTTTTTGTTGTTTTTCTCTCTCTCTCTCTCGTCTCCTCCGCTTCCTCCCCGCCCCGCTTGCAATTCGAGCTCGATTGGTTTTCCATGTGGGATAGAGATGCGAGCTGCCTCCACGCTCCAAGGTTCATTGGTTTTGCCATTGGATTTGCCGATGGCGCGAACTCGCTGGATGGGTTTTTTCCTACTCCTCGTCCTCGTCCGCGTCTTCGTCGTTCGTCTCCTCCTCCCCGTTCGACAGCTGGTCCTAGTCCAGCGGGATCTCCAGGCACCGGTTCCGTGACATGCATTTGCTGCGCTGCCCCCAGCCCAGGGTGATTATTTCAGGCCTGGCGGGTAGCGCGTCGCTGCGTGAATTCGTCGTGTGGTGTTGCTTCGCGACTTCAAAAAAACACCCACCCACCCCGCCCCAACACGCACACACACACTCACTCACTCACATACACACACATACACACAATTGTTTGTCTGCGTCGCCGCGCGTCCTTGATGCTGTTTTGGTAACCCTCTTCATCCATCCCTATTCATCATACATGCCTGTTGGTTGGGCGGTTTTCTGACCACTTACTGCCCTGAGGTTTGTCATGCGCAGCCACCAGGAGGAAGGGCGGGTGAGTTTCATAATGTAGCTCTTGCCCGAACGCCGCACACAATTGCTTAAACAATTTGCAGCGGCTTCAAGGATGAAAGGCGGTTCTGTTTCGAAATTGGACCTTCGCCTTCAAACCGCGCGCATTCGTTTGTTGCTTCCAAGTGTGCCTCAACTGTTGGGATGGGCAAGGATGGTTTTCAAGTTATGTATTTCGTCCAACGTCGGGTCATTGAGAGATCTCACGCAACAGTTGCCCGGATTAATGGTGGGCGTCCGCTCTAGACCTCTGTTCTGTACGTGTAAAGACGAGGAGCTTGAACAGACGGTACAAGTGCACGGATGGAGGGCTACTCGTTTTCAGAATTGGGTTTTCGCATGGGGTTTCTTCGACATGCATAGCCGCAAGTGAAACATTGCCCAACTGTTACACTCTTGGGGGTGGTCTTATCTCACAACGGGGATTTCCCTGGACACTTCGGCTGACTGTACGATCATGCCTTCGCGAGTTCTTTGCTTGGTGGATGGATTCAAGGCAGCTGGTTCCTTTTTTAAAGCGGACATGTCTCTTGAATCGCAGGCCCATCGGATGTTGGTCTCAAGGAGGTGTTTATTGCATGTTCGAGGACGGCTTGCACGAATTCATGAGGAACGGGACTCTCCACGGGAGGGCGTATGATTGCAGCATCGTTGATGCACCTTGGGAATATGTCTTGTGATCCACCTCCTCCTTTTTTCTCCTCCTCGGCTTCATCGTTCTCCTCGTTACCATCATCTTCCTCATCACCATCATCCTCCACCATCCTTCCGAAACCAGCAAAGGGGTAGAAGCCCCAAGGCTTTTTACGAGTCGAAAACCATGTCTTGACCGATATGCGCCAGCTCTGCGCACATGTCTGCACGGGTTGAGCGCGCCCGTTCCTTTCACCGTCTGCCACCGCGTCCGTGGCCGCTGGGGCGACCTACCGGCGCTGTGTACAGCGTGTACATACGCATGTGTCGCCGCGCCGTTTGCTTCGACGGGAGGCCTTCCGCCTTGCGGAGGGTTTCTGCCACCAGGGCAAACTCCGCCTCGGACGCAGGGCCTGCCGTGGGATTTGCCGCGGCGCCAGCTGCGTCTCCTTTGGGCGCGGGACACAGGGTTTGCCGCGGGGTTGACGTGGTGCCGGCGTCGTTCATTTGGGCGCGTCGAGAACAAAAGACGCGGCGACATGTTGAACAGCATTTCGGATGGATGTATGGTGTTTCCGCCCCGTTCTGAGCGAAATGGCGAGATGGCTGTTCGTCGTGTGCGAAGCAGACCATGAACTTCTCGGATTATGCGCGGTTAGGATGTTAACTACGGGATGTCGACACAACTGTGCTTGACGCGTATCAGGTCCATTGGGCGCAACATTCGTTTGAAGTTTGTCCCACCCGCTCGCGTATGCCCGCCCCGCACCGGCAATGCATTGTTTTTGATCGCGCGGGTTCCTCAGAAATGTGTTTGCACTTTGTGCGCCCCATCTGTGCCTGACCAGTTGTTGTTGCAACGCTGCCGAGAGGAAAAGCCGTGCCCTGTGCAGGATGCAGAGAAACGCCGCAGTTAGGCGGAGCCCATGTAGTTGAACTTCCCTTCGCGGTCGAGAGCGCGCAGACACATGTTTGAAACAAATGCGTCGCAATTGCAAGGAAGAGCGCGGGTCCTGAGGGAAGCAGGTCCTGGACCCCGGGGCCTCCCCCCAGGACCAGCTTTCCATCCAGAGTTGTTTTTCGACGGTGCTGGGGCCCTGGGGGAAGGCCCACGGAACCCGAATGTGGCGAACGACCTTGTAACGACCCGTTCCCCTCAATACCCTTCTCGCTTGTGGCGATCACATGCCCATGGCAGGCCCAAAGCTATGAGTTCCGGCGCAAACAGGAGTCGCAGCCAGGGCGTGCCAAGCCGACATGGCGGCAGGCTCCGCGCCAGGTGCCTCGTAATGCCAGGACGCCGAAATAAGGATGAGTGCGGGTTCGGCTGGGGCTTGTTGTTCCTCAGGCCCCTCCATGGTTTCGAGGAACTGCAGGGACCACCGATACCGAGAACCCATCGGACGGGTAGGCGACCTCTGGGCGGTGGGTCTCCTGAGGGATACAGGTGGGCGCTCAGACCTGCCGCCGCCCAGGGCACCCCCCCAAACCCCCCCGATTGGTTCTCGATGGCGGTGGTTTCTGTCTCTCCTCTGCATGCTTGGTTCTTGCAGCCTTAGCGATCCTCGTGCGCCCAGGCGCGCTTGGGCCCAAATAGAGGCATCGTCTATGATTCAGCGTTCCTTCTGGTAGCGGCTTCACTGTAGTGCGGCGAGTCGGGCGTTTGTGCACGCAGTCTCACGAAGAGTTAATTAGTTTGTCAGACAATGGCACCAGTCCCCCTCGTGTGTGTGTGTGTGTGCGCGGTCTACTCGCCACGCTGTGCGTCGGATGAGCATGTCGCCTACGTGGCCGTGGCAAGGCCGTTTTTGGCCTGGTGGCACTCTTGGTTGTTGGGGTACGCGTCCCAATCACAAAGCATTCGGTGCGACCGACATGATTTAAGACAGAATTGGCACAACGACTGGCAGCATTTCCTGCACATGTTGAACTGGCCTCGCTTTGAGTTCCGCCGCGGGGTTTGTCCATTCGACAGAAGGTCGCCTGCCCAACAGTGGTCGCTTTCGATATTGTAACACATTTGCCTTTGGGCATCGTGCCAATTCGTTCCGTGCCCATTTCGGGCGCCCACACAATCACATAATTCTTCTCTCCCCCCCCGCGATCCGACGTCGTTTAAACGCAGTGCCGTCAGAATCCCACCCGGGGCCCTCGGCGCCATTCCGCCGCTGGGGCCGCGGCGTTTCTCGAGGCAGGCCGGGCCGCGGAAGCACCGTGGCCCGGCATTTGGCGATCACTCCTGCCGCGGCGACTGCGTCCTCGCGAGCAAAAAAGGGCAGAACATGATTTGTTCCGCTGTCGGGGACGCATGCCCCGACCATGCCACCGTAGGGGTATCAGTTCTCCAACCGCCCTCTGATAGGCCGGCGAAAAGTATCAGTGCATAGGCATCCGACGTTTTGACTTTCTCGAGACGGGGAGCCTGGAAGTCCCGACCCTTTCCCCAGGTCGGGCGGGTGGTAATGGGAGGTGACCTCAATGGGGGGTGGAGAGCAGGGCCCTGCGGGGGCCCTTTAGGGCCCCTTTGGGAGCCAGCAGGGTCACAAAAAGGGCCGTGAAGGCACCCTTTAGGGAATTTTCTTTGATCCCGATCGAGCCATTGTTTGAAGGTTTCGGGGTCCCGGCGAGGACCCCAGGAGCCCGAACGCAGTGGAAAACCGTACGTCGTGATTGTTTCCGACGCGAGCATGTTTGGGTCTTTTTGGCTGGCCGCTCCGGCGCGCTCATCCCCAAGGTCTTCGCGCGGTGGGTGCCCTCCCCCCCCCCCCCTCCTGTCCTCTGCGGTCGCCCCTCCCTGCCATGTCCAGGTCTTGCTGCTGGCCAATTAGTCTGCCGCGCGCCCCCGCCATTTGAACGCGCAAGCGGATTGCCTCTGCCGCGCCGCGACGTCCAAAGAGTCTGGGTCTTCCTCCCCTGGTGCGGTTCGGGTGATGACTCTGGCCTCCAGCGGCTGTTCGGGACCATCCGAGCATCCCTGGAAGGCCCTCGGTGGGGCGCAGCCGCTGGAAGGCACCCCGAGGCTGGAGGGCCGCCAGGAACTAGACAAAAACGTCAGAAAACCTCGAACCTCGAACCCAACGCTGCTTCCAGGGGGTTGGGCACGTCCGCGCACCACGTTCGCCGACAGGTTTTCATCGGGGGCATCAAGAACGAGGCCGGGGAGGACGCCGTCAAGGAGGGGCCGGCGGCTCGGCGCGCGCTGGCTCGCGGGGCGGGGGGTGGGCGCGAGCAGGAGAAGGAGGAGGAATGGGGGGGAAACTGATCAAGGATGCTGGTGGGGAGTAATGAGGACGAGGACGAGGATGAGGATGGTGAGGGTGAGGATGTGGATGGTGATCAGCATGCAGATGGCAATGATGAGGACGAGCTTGACGATGGACATGATGAGGATGATAACGATGAGGAGGAGGGGAGAGCAGAGATAATGATGAGAGGGGAGAAGGAAGGAGAGTCGACGGAGAAGAAACTTCATAAAAACATCAACTCTCATAGGTTCGACGTTGGATCGGTGTTGGGCCCCCCTGGCGGCCCACCTGTCGCCGCGCCTGGCGCACTCTGTACGCCAGGGAGGGGGGTCCAGTGCCGATCCAAGACGCGGCACGGATCTCCGAAAGTTGATGGTCATGCCTTTTCTCTGCTTCTCCAAACAGGATGTCCAGAGTTGGGAGCCCAAACCGAAGCCATAGGAGCGGGAGGGCGCCGAATTGGGGTGGAAAAGAACACCGAAAGCCCAGCAGGGCCTAAACCAGATCACCGAAAGGGTGCAGCCCCCGCACAGGCCCATCCCGACGACGGGAGGCGGAGAGGCGTCAGCCAAAGACCAGAAAATCCACGTGTGGGGGGAGGCCCATGCATGAGAAAGGGATGGGCCGCCCAGCTTTCGGCTCACATCCCGCAGCCAGCCATACGTTGGCAAACGCCGACTTATTTTTGGGCGGCCCTCCACACTCATTTCTCAATTTCGTGATTTATTTACCGATGTGCAATCTGCAGTGGCGACCGCGCTCACAAATCCCAGCAGGGCCCTATCGGACCAGCTTGTGCCCGCCTCCGATCTTGGGGGGGGGCGTGTACCTAGAGTTGGTATCGTAGCTCCCGACAGTGCAAGTTGTTTTGGGACAGCTCCTACACCTGACCAGCTCAAACTTTTCTACAGAGACAACGAATCATGTTGGGTGATCGAAAGCATAAGGCCCATGTCTCTGCTAGTGCTCTTACTTGTCAGACTCACCTGCGTTTTTGCTTCGAACATCTGGATCACACAACGATGGTTTTCAGTTCAGACATCTGCAGCCTTGACTCCTGCAGCGCCCGCGTACGCGAACATCTCGGCCCACGCGTTGCCCAGCGCATGTGCCAGTAAGCCACCTGATTCAAGAATTTGTTCGGCATCCTGTGCGATTGCGCCCAACCAAATGCACGTCTCCCCGAGTCATTACGACACACTTGAATGAAATATGAGCCGCCACAGTGATGCGTGTAAGGGTCCATGTGCCTCGAGTTCTGGGCTCCAACGCACAGCTTCATTGAATAACGAAGGATGGCCATTCACAATAATTCTAGATCGCCTCCTCATCACGGGCGCCCGGTATCCAGCATATCGGCCACCTCCATGAATTGTCTGATATCTACCAGGGAAGCTCCCATACTGGATACGAACAGGGAAGGCCGTGCTGGCACATGGTTGTATATTGGCCCATCCAAATCTGCAGCTGGGTGGCTGTCGTGCATATTTGCGGTCGGCCAGGTCGATCGTGTCAGGGTTCTCCATGTTCTCGTCAAACCCCGGCGTTCGTGTCCTTCCGGAACTGGGTCACAGCATCCTGTGCATCTTTTGGTCGAGCATCGGATAGCTGCAACATCGCATGACAAACGCTCGTTTGATGAGATCGAGTCTTTTTCGCAGCACCACACTACGAACATTCCCAAGAGCTTCCAATTCCAAGAACGACAGCTCGGCCAGGACACGGCAAGCCACCTGCCCACAATTTCTGCAGAGCGCCTCCCATAGGCCCTTGGCTGACAGAGAAGAGGACCAGGCGAATGGCGAGCCTCCAGATTTGTTCATCCCCCGTCCAGGCAGGTGGTCGCGAATTCGAAGAACCTGACGCCGCTGGAAAGATCCGACCAGTCTCTTCTCCAGCGACGACATCTGCAGACAGGAAAATTATGCGTCATATTGTCGGTGCAGTATTCTGGCCTTGCGAACCTCCGACCAGTGCGAGTCAGCGCCAACCATGCATATGCAAACCGTCAACGAGCCAGCGGCCAGCATTGCTTGACCTCTTGGAACTGACTGCAGGCTGCGTTCCAGGTACGATATGCTTCAGGAAGAGACACCTGGCCATCCCAGGTGAAGCTGGCGCAGCGTTTTATCAAGATGACCATGGGGTCAAGCAGAGATCGTATCGATCACCGCGCGAAGTGGCAAGATGGAGCGCGAGTGAGACGTTCCGCGCGACTCCCCCCCCCCCCCCCCCCCCCCCCGGCGAAGGAGCACAACTGCTTGAGCACCGAGTCTGACGCGCCACTCGCACCCGTGCCGTGCCCGTCTGCGGGAAGGGGCCCCGTCCTTCATCATGTGCCGACGCGCTCGTGCACCGCTCGACTTAGTTGCCTGCTATTTCCCACGCGCGCCTGAAGCTTTGCTAGTCTCTTGCGCTCTAACACACGACGCACCTTCACACCATGGAGCTCGCTCCTAAGTTGCAGATGCGTCGATGCGTTTCACGGCTCACGCATCCAACCCCTGCTGAGAAACAGCGCCGCGCCCTAACCGATGTTGCGACGAACCCCGACTTCGACTATGAGGCCTAGCTTCCTTGCGTCATTCCAGACGGCGCGCGCGTCAGCGCATGTCTAGGGTCTGTCTCATGGCGCCGCATCGCGCAATCATGCGCGACCGCGCTCGCCTTGATGTTGTATATCCGCGCGATATAGCGCGACAATCACAAGCGCCGCAGCACATGCGCATCCTGCGTCTCTAACTACGATGGAGCGATACCATCGCATATATAACAGATAAAGTTAGCATGGGCGCACATGGCACGAGGAACGCGGCATGTCTGCAATCGCGCCCGCGTCAATTCAGGGGGAAATCCATCTCGCGTGCTTCACGCCTGCCCAACGCTACTGCGCCATGGCATTCGCACATGTCCTAAACAATCAGCAGTGACAATGTTTTCTTGGATGCGCCGCCTCTGCTGTCATATCCATCCGGAAAGCGCAATCTGAGGGCGAGTATGCAGCCCCCTTGCTTCCGAAGGATGGATGCGGATGGCCTTCGTCCCAGGGCGCAGTTAGAGGCCGTCAGGCTGGGCCCCATATTTTGAACGTTGCGCTGAGCGACGCGTCCGGCGCCGCCGCTTGGCGTTGGCAGCGCGCTGAGCTCCGTGGCCAATTCCTGCGGCAATGCCAATCTTTCCTCGCATATGCCATCCTGGTCGACCGCGCCCTGGCGGGCGCTCAGAATTCCCCGGGGGCGGCCGGGCCTGCCGAGTCGAAGCGCTTATAGCCCCCCGGGGCATTCTGAGCGCCCCGGGGCCCCGGGGGCGCTCGGAATCCAGCGGCGGCGGCGGCCCCATTCGCCCGCGGTCTCCCGCGGCCTTGGCGACCCGCTCCCCGGCCCCTTGCAGGGGGGTTCTGAACGATTTCCCGGCGCGCTGGGAGACCTCCGGAGCCCGGCCCGTCGGCGGCCGGTTCCAGTGCGGCCCAGCGCCAGCCCGGCCATCTGGAATCGGCCTTCGGGCGCCGTCGGGGGCACTTTTCAGGCGAGCCCGCTCGCGGCGGGAGTCGGCCGCCACCCCGCCCCCTCGTGCGCGAGGGCCCAAGGCCAGGCCCATCTCCGCCTCGCGACGAGGACCCTCCGAAGGGCGCGCGGCCGCGGGGACTAGGCGTTCCGCGGCCCGCGCGTTGCCAACTAGGCTGCCCGCCCGCGACGCGCGCGGCCCGCGCCGCGCGGCCCGGCCGGGCGGGCGGCCCAGACGGGCGCCCAGCAGGGTGGAAATGGAAACAGGCGACGCGCCAGAGGAGGAGGGCCAGCATAATCCGTTGTTTTTTTGCTTCAATGTACGTTGCGAAACAAACAGGCGCCTCTGATCCGCCGGTGGCCCCCGCCCTTTCGCCGGGCCCCCCGCCTGCCGAGCCGCCGCTGGTTCGCCCAAGCAGCGGCATTTATGTCCGAGGCCTGGGATAGCTCAGCGTTCTTGTATCCATATGTCAGTTTCTCTTTATGTGTGTGTGTTGTGTGTTGCTTGCTGTTTTTCTTTATGTCTTTCTGTTTCACACACTCTCTCTCTCTTTCTATTTGTCTCTCGCTGTCTATCAGTGCGAGCGCGCGAGCGGATGCAGTCTGGCAGATGGCGGGGCGTTGCCCGCGCACGCCCGGCGGGTTCTTGTCTAGTAGGAACGGGTGCTTGCGACGCAGTTCGGCCAATAGAGAACGCAGCGGCGACTTGTCGCCGAAGCCGCCATGCGGCCAGTGGGAGGCCGCGGGCAAGGAGGCGGCTGCTGTGGCCCCAGTGCTGGCCGGCCGCGGGCTCAGACGCGATGTCGGAGGGCCCGAACCTCGACACGCCGTCGGACGTGCCCACCGAGGAAACGACGGTGACGACCGACGTCGGCGACAGCGACGTTGCGAGGATGGATGACCTGAGCTCCATCGCGAAGGACATCAACACCGACCTAGTGAAGCCTGGCTGCAGATCAGTCGAGAGTCCCCAGCTGGGCCGAGGATTTTGGAGGTCTTCAGGCGCGGCAGGCCCCTGGCGCGCGCGCGAGTTCGGCCTCGCGCCAGGCTTCGCGCTGGACCTCGGGACTGGACGGGGCCTGGGTGTCCGGGTTCAGCGCCGTGACGCTATGCGACTCCAGGGTCGAGAGAGGCCGCTTCTGCCCATCGCGTCGCCGCGCTGTGCCGCGTGGGCGACGCTCCTGGATTTCGGGCACGCGAAGGAGGATGCTATCGAGGGCCTCATGAGAGAAGCCATCGCACATGGGCATGTGCGTGGAGATGTGCAAGATGCAGTTGGACGGCAAGTGCCACTTCCTTCACGGGGCCCCGCCCTCGGCGAGGTCACGGTGCATCGAGGGCGCCCAAGACCGACTGGCCAGGATGGGTGTCTTTCACGCGGCCGACGACCAGCGCGGCAGGTCGACGGCATCACGAAGGGCATTTGGCTTTCCAGCTGCATGTGCATTGCGAGGGAGCTGGCCGAGTTCCAGCGCCGAAACTGGCAGGGTGGCCATCGCAGGCAGCACCGCGTGCTCGACGGGGCGGCTGCTCACAAGGCCAGTTACCCACCGGCGCATGTGGCGGCCATCCTGCGCGGCTTCAAGGCGTAGATTTCCGGCGTAGATCGAGTTCGACAAGATGGCGAGCTGCGCGGGCATTTCCGAAGGCAGCCTGGACGCGGGCTACAACGTCGAAGCCGAGACCCGCGAGATGCCGCACCTTACCCGAGTACGAGCACATCTTAGACGACGTGACTTGCGCCCAGCTACGTCCTGAGAAGGTAGCGGCAGCGCGCAGGGCGGATATTGAATTCTTTCACCGCTCTCGCGCGCGCAAGCGAGCGGGCGCTTCTGAAGCGGATGGCCACAAAGGCATCGGCACCAGGTGGGCTGACGCGAACAAGGGTGGTTGCGAGAACACGGACGCGAGGTCGCGGCTCTGCGCGAAGGAGTTCAAGTGGAAGAACCCATGGCAGGAGGACGCCTTCGCTGGGGCGCCGCTGTGGGAGGATATCAAGATCATGCCGAACAAGGCCACGGCGAAGGACAAGCACCCCAGCGGCGGCTTCAGGGTCAAGAAGGTGCTCATTTTGGAACTCCCCAGGGCTCACTTCCACCCGCCAGCCAAGCGCGAGCTGTTCATCCGCATCCATCGAGAAGATGGCGGTGACAGCGCAGGCCATGTGGGCCTCTTGCTCCGCATGATGCACGGCACGAGGGATGCTGCAGCTGGCTGGGATAAGTACCATCGCGAGAGGCTGGCCCTGACGGGCTACAACGCAGGTGTACTCCGACGGCTCGTCGTCTGAAATGTGGTGCATGGCGATGTTTTCGAATTCGAGGGCGAGGAGAGGCTGTTCACTGCGATGGATGGCGAGCTGCGCGAGCACATGCTGGCGCAAAGGAATGCGCTCCTCGGCCCCGACGCTTCGGACGACAAGCGCACGACGATTCTCAACAGGCTCATCTCTTACGTTGTCGGAGTCGTTTCGGTGAAGAGCCGGATCGCCATAGAACCTGACCGACGACGCGCGGAGGTTCTAGTCCACGAATCCGGCCTGAATGGACATAGTTCTAAGGCGGTGACAACGCTTACGGAGAAGCGCGCGGTCTACTTCGACGACGCTCCGCTGCAGATCGTTGAGGACTCCAGAACGTACAGATCAGTGTGCATGCGTCTCCCTCGCCCAATATGCACCCCATCTCCAGTACGTGGCTAGCAAGTGCTGAAGGCACATGGCGGTCCCCACCATCAGTGGGCTAACTCGACTCAAGGTTCGTTCGGTTCCTGAAGGGCGATCTTCGATGCGTGCATAACTTCTCCGGGCAGCACCACGAAGGCAAACACATCGACCTCTACTGTGAGGGCCGGGAACGTCAAGGCTCGGAAGAGTACGAGTTCGGTGTTCGTGTTCTTCGGGTTCCATATTTTAAAGAGCGCGGTGAACACTCAGGGCGCCATCGCCCTGTCCAGCGGCGAGGAGGACTTCGCGGCCGGGGTGAAGGCCACATCTGTGGCCCTGGGCGCGCGCTCGTTGGGCTCAGATCTCGGCATGACGCTGTTCCCGGTGGTGCACACGGACAGCAGCGCGGCGCAGGGCATATTCGGCCGACGCGGCATCAGCCGCATCCGTCTTTTGCACGCGCCTCTCTTTTGGGTGCAAGGGAAGCGTGCGACCAAGGAGATCACGGTCCACAAGACACCGGGCGACAACAACCCCGCGGACCCTGACACGAAAGACCTGTCTTGTGTTGCCATGGACAGGTATTTTCGTTCCTGCGGCTACGCACTCGAGAGTGGCAAGCACCCGAAGGCCTTGGCCGCGCAGTTTTCGGTGCCTGGTGAAATGAATGGCTTGAGCGGCTGCGATCGGGACGAGGTGACGTTTTCGACAAGGCGTTCGAGATGCACCCTGAGTGGGGCCTAGGGCGGCCGCATCGGCGCCCCGGCGGGTCGTTGACCCCAAGCTCCATCACCTTCTCTTGAGGGGGCCGGTCGGGCCCCTAGCGGCCGGCGTGTCCAGGCCGAGCGCGCCTGGTGTACAGGCGGGCTCGAGGAGGGTTGTGGAGATATGCAGATTCGCCCGCCATAGCCATGCAGGCCAAACAAAGTGTCTTTCTGTATGTATGCATGCATGCATGCATGCATGCATGTAAGTATGTATGTATGTATGTATGTATGTATGTACTGTAATGAAATGTAGTGTAGTGCAACGTATTGCAATGCAGCGCAACGTACTGTAATGCAGTGTAATGGAATGGAATGGACTGTAATGTAATGTAATGTGTGTAATGTGTGTAATGTATGCATGCATGCATGCATACATGTATGTATGTATGTTTATGTTTAGGAATGTATGTATGTTTATGAATGTATGTATGTATGCATGTATGTTTGTATGCATGTCTGTATGTACGTATGCTTGTATGTATGTATGCATGCATGCATGCGTGTATGTATGTTGTTATGCATGCATGTGTGTATGTATGTACGTGTGTATGTATGTATGCATGCATGCATGTATGTGTGCATGTATGTATGTATGTATGTATGTATGTATGTATGTATGTATGTATGTATGTATGTATGTATATGTGTATGTGTATGTGTGTATGTATGTATGTATGTATGTATGTAGGTAGGTATGTATGTATGTATGTATGTTTGTATGTATGTAAATGTGTATGTGTATATGTGTATATGTGTATATGTGTATATGTGTCTGTATGCATGTATGCATGCATGTATGTATGTATGAATGAATGAATGTGTTTGATTGTGTGTTCTGTATTCTATGCATGTTTATCAATTCGCATATCGATGTGCACATACACATTAAATATACACGGTCGGGAGCTTCGGCATGGCGTGTCGTTCCGCCGTGTCTGTACCGCCACGTCCAGGTCCCCAGTCGTCAACGTCCCGAATTTTTGGCAGCTTCCCGCTCTACGAAGCGGAGGGGCACGCTGTCCGCTCGCAAGGCACTGCGTGTCGCCAGTGCCGCCGCCGCGACACGCTAAGCAAAACGTTCCCGACCGCATGTATCTATCATGTCCGACGTGCACGTCGGGGAGTCTGTTTAGCAACCGATTCCCTCACCCCCCGTGCCTGCCAGGAGTGGGCCGAGGCTTTCGGTCCCGTGCAGGCCGTCAGGGTGCTCCGGGACGAGTTGGGCAGATCGAAGGGCTACGCCTTCGTGGACTTCGAGGCCGCCGCCGTCGCCGCCGTCGGCGCGCGCCGCAAGCGGCCGCCGCCGCATCATCGCGGCCGCCGCCGTCGCCGCCGTCGTCGCCGAGCGCGGGGCGCCATGCATCGAGGTTCGAGGATCGAGGTTCGAGGGTGGCACATCCATCCAATGCCGCAGGGAAGCTGAGTAAGAGCCGCGCAGTGCAGGCAGTGCTTGTGAGAATAGTGAGAAGCTCCCAGGGCAGAGGAAAACGCGTCCACTTCCAGCTTCCAGAGTGTTCGAAAGTACCCCTCCAGATTTGCAGACCTATCTAGGCTGCTTGAAGTCCCGAAGGGGACCGCAGCTCAAAAGCCTTGGTGCCATCTTCGTTTGCCCTGCTCCTAGGAGTTCTGCGACACTGGCCCCTAATCATCGAACCTCGATCGAACCGCGAGCCCCGAGCGAACATCGGACGCCGAGCGAGCGTTAGACGCCGCCGGAGGCCGGGCATGGCCGTCGGTCGGGCAGCGAGTGCGCCGAGCGTCTGACGCCCGAGGGCCGCAGCCGCGGCTGCCCAGGGGCGCGGCGGCGCAGTCGGTCGGTCGGAGCGCCCGCGCGGGCCTGTGCGCAGAGCCAGACCTTTATAGTGGGGTCGATGTGGGCGGCGTCGGCGGGTCGCGCCGCATCGCCTCGGTGTGAAGCCCGATTTGCTCCGCGCTACCGGTGCCGTTGCGTCGCGACGTCGCCGATGCATCGCCGATGCAGCCGCGATGCAGCGGCGCGTCGCCGACGCATCGGCGATGCGGCGCGATCCTCCAACCCCATCTGCTCGGACCCTGCGCGCAGAGGCGTGCTGAAAGGCGCTCGGCCGGCGCGGCGTGCGGGCGCCCGACGCGTGGGCGCCCGGCGGCGCCCGCGCGCGTGCGCGCTCCGCTATGGTCGTCGAGGTCGCGGCGCGCCACAACGCATGGCGGGACCGGAGCCACAGCGACCCGCTGCAGGCCAGCGTGGACTTCCTCGACACGTTCTTCGACAGCGTTGACCAGGCCACGATCGGGCTCGCCAAGCTGGGGCAGGAGGAGGGCCCCCAGCAGCGCCGGGCGGGGCGCCCGCGGTCGAAGACGCCAGTGCCCGCCTCGAGGATCAAGCGCCTCATGGAGTCCGCGCAGCTGGCGTGGCCGAGCTCGCCGTTGCAGAGAGGCCTCGTGGACGAGGAGCTGCTGGACCTCGACTCGCAGGAGGGTCCGTGGCTGGCGTGCAGCCCCAAAGTGGTGGGCGGTGGCGCGAGCGCCCTGCCCGCCTTCTGTCTCAGCCCGGCCGCCGTGAACCTGAGCTCGTCCACTGAGCAGCCGAGCTCTGGCGCGGCCACCGAGGAGAGCTCAGCGACGGCGTCCGATTCATCGCCGGCGCCGGGTGCCTTGCAGCGGCCGGCGCCTGGAGGCAGGTTCCTGGCCAAGAAGCGAGCCGAGCAGCTGGCGGCGGGCGGGGCCAGCGGCGGGGGCGCTGCACAACCCGCGCGCGGGCGCCCCGCGACCCCGAGGGGGCCCCGCGCCGCCACCCCGAGAGGGCCCCGCGCCGCCACCCCGGGGCCTCGGCCCGCCGCCGAGGCCGCGGCGGTGCAGGGCCCCGCGCACAGCGCCGCCGCAGCGGAGCCCGGGCCCGCCGCCCACCGGCCGCTGCATGGGCTCGCGAGAAACGCGCCGCCCCTGTCCGCAAGGCGCTCCGGCGGAGCGCTGGAGCCCGGGCGCTTGGTGGCCGTCAAGGGCGCTCCGGGGCGGCCCAGCGGCGAGGTCTGCAGGGCCAGGATCCTCACCGTGGACCAGGAGACCGCGTCGTGCAAGGTCCGGCTGCGGAGCGGCGCCATCCAGAGGCGCGTCGTGAAGAAAAGGGGCCCCGAGGGAAACGGGCCCTGAGGTGGGTTGCCCTCCCCGGCCTCGCAGGGCCCCCTCAGGAAAGCTCTGGGGTCCAGGGCTCGTTTCCTGCAGAGCCTGTCTTCTTCACGGAAAAGAGGTTCGGCATGGAGTGCGTGGAGCCCATGGTGCTCAGGGCGCGCTTCGTGCAGGTGTGCGGCTGAGGACCCAGTCCTGCGCACGCCCGAGCGCGCTCGAGCTGAGGCAAGCGGCGCCTTGTCGCGCGTATCGGCCATGTTTGCCCGCGCGGAGGCGCACGTGCGCCGCGTTGCGCCATGCCCTCGCCTCTCGCCATAGCCGGGTTCTGCCGACACAGACCGTGCCGGGCGCCGTGCCGCGTGGCACGTGTCGGGGTTGGTCCGTGCGTGTGTGGCCGCAGGAGAGGGCTCCGCGTGTGTCGCCGACGCGTCCCTGTGAAGGAGGAAGGGTCTCGAGGATGAGCCGGGAGGGGAAATAATTCTCGACAGCACGACGGCGTTGCGAATGCGTCATCGTCTTACTCATTTGTGCTTGTCCGAGGGCCTGGTGAATCTTGAATAGTAACACCCTAATGAGTTTCCCACGGTGGCACGTCATTGATACTGTTGTTGCTCCCCCGGAAATGTCCCAAGGGGTTCTTACCAGTTCAAGGATGCGCCAGGGTGTCTTGCGGGTTCGAGGGTGATGGGATTAAGAGGGGCGTTGCGACCTGGCAGTTTGTTTTTCCACTCCATCCGATGGAGGGCGACTGCCAGTTCAGTCCTCCCCCTCCTTCCTCCTCTCTCTTGCGTCGGCTTAACGCCCTCTTGCGCCATCATCACCCGACCTAGCTCCTCTCATCTGGTTCGGCCGGTTTGGAGGTTCTGACCTGACGTTCTGTGGGACTTCCGACTTTTGCCCTGTTCCCCGGAGTTGTGGGTTTTGATTGTTTCCGTCGTTTAGGCGAGCTTGGGTCTCACTGTTAGGTTATCCTCGGGCGCCGTTTTTATGTAAATGATCTTCGGCCGCGATTCTTATCGGCCGCTGTATGTATGTGATCCTCGGACCTCGTTCTTATGGGCGCCTGTGTGCACGAAAGGTAGGTTATTTTCGGCCGCGCGCATCACGTGCGCGTCGACGTCGCAACCTTCGCCACCAGGGGTTATCAAACTACACCGCGCGGCGGCGTTGTCTGAGCACCTGCGTGTGCCGATTCTGCAGCGGCCAGCCGTGTCCTAAGGGCAAAGTGTTGGAATGCCGCGCGCCGCTCTCCCCATGGATATGCCAATGGTTTTGCTGGTATTGCACCAGGTCTCTGCGGTGTGTGGGACACCGTGGAATGGTTGTGTTGCACACGACGAAATGACTGAAGTACCTTCCGACAAAGTTCAAGCGTCTGAAGATGATGTCTGACCCCGCTTCACCCCTTTCCTCCAGAAGACCAGCACGTCATATTTCACGAAGACTTGTGCGCAGATTTCTCGGCCCGGTGCAGGACCCCCCTTCTCCACATCCCCTGCCTGGCACGCGGAGCGTGCCGTGGACGGAGCCGCACGCGGCTCCACCGCAGTGATGGCTGTGACTTGCATCCGCTGCAAGGTGGTTGCCACCCCCCTTACTAGGCGGACTCGCAAGTGGACTGCGAGCTCGCCTAGCTGCTCCCAGTTGGGTACACGACTCACTCAGACTTAGAGCAGTGAGGCGGACTTGCAAGCCCACTCGCAGGCGCCTCGCAAGAGGGTTGCAACCACCTTGCAACTGTTGCAACTGTTGCAAGTCGAACCGACCACTGCAACATGGGTGTGGGGAGGGCTGGGGGGGGTGCGCTGACCCAAGAGATCCGCGTGGACCTCCAGAAATCCTCTTCATGTCTTGTCGTGCCTCTCTGGACGAGGCCCCCTGCCCCCCTCCCCCCGGTCGTCCTCCTGACTCGTCCTCCTCGTCCCCCTCCTCGTCCACCTCCCGCCTCTCTTGGTCGCCTCGCCCCAGGAAAGGTGGGTCTGGTCAGAGTAGGTTCGCGCCGTATCGACCGGCGGCGACCCCGCCGCTGGCGCTCAACATTGGTCGCCGCCGGCGACCCAGAATCCGTCGATTTTGAACGATCTGACGTTTCGGAAACGGCCGACCGTTAAAGTTGAACGATCCCCGCGGTGTCAGAAACCAACGCCGAAGTCGGCACGACACGAACCCGCAGTACTCCTCAGGCCCACAGCGTACCTGGCAGTCCTCGCTCGTCCTCTTCCCGCGCTCTGTCTCTTCGCCCCGTCGTGCCCTCCGCCTCGCCTCCTGATCCATCGCCTCCTCCTTCAGGGGCAGCGCCAGGGGCACCCAATCGCCCATGCCCCGCTAGGGGCCTGATAACCCACTCCGCCCAAGAGAGTAGGGTTTCGCTATCGAAGGTCTCTCGCCGATATGTCACCGATTCCAGGTCAATGTGGTCCCGCCTATCGTTCCCCCTTGAGCTGCCCCCCCTGCCCAAACATGCGATGTTATGTTGCTGTTTTCTTTTAATGTTTAAAATGACCCCCCCGACAAAAAAAACGGGCTCCCTGGAAGTATCAACCATTTTCCACGGGCCAGTTCTTCATGCTGAGCCGTTGTTTGCCATGTCCCGGGGCCTTGCGAGTGCGCCCAAAGCCCGGAAATTGCCAAGCAGTTAAACATATTCCGTCTTGGTTTCCCCAAGCCATGCTGTGGTGTTGGGTGATGGTCCTCGTTTTGAGGAGAAAGCGCCCCCCGCCCTCCTTTCTTCCTCCTCCCCTTCATCCCTCCTCCCCATCCCTGCCTCTGCTCTCCGCGTGTACCCCTTATACCTTTCGTGGCCTACGGGGAGCTCCGCCGAAGCCCCCAGAGGGTGGTTCTGCAGCGCGTCCTCCCGCCCATCTCGGCGAACCCCTCGCACACTTCTTGGCCCCATGAGGAGCTCCACCGATTCCCCGAGGGTGTGGTACCGCATGGCGTCCCAGTTAATATGCTCCTCTCCGCGTCCTCTCTTTTGCCGCTGCCGCCGCCGCAGAATAATTGTAGTATGTAATTGTAGACCTTATTGCCAAGGCCATCGCCGATCTATCGATGATGCATGCATCAGTACTGTCTGCAGCTACCTTTTATGAGTCAAGTGTAGAAAAGGTCTCCGCGCGCGCCTCCCCTCGCCCTTCGGCCTGCCTGCCCGGCGCGTGCGCACGTATTCACATATTGCCAAACGGACTTCATTGTTGCCAAAGCCATGGCTCTCCCCAGTAGTTCTCTCCCTGAGCTTCCCCAGAAAAAGTTCACGACAACACATGATCATGAGACCCATATTCCTTTTACATCTAACCACGATTCCCAGAGGAACGACAGGTTATCAGCCGAAACCAACGACCAGGTGGTTTTGGGTTCGACGAGACAGGTTCAGGCAGTAGATTTGCTCGACACATCACAATCATAACATCATGGTGAGCAACTTCGGAAAAGGACGCGGCCTGAAGGGCCGCCCTTCTCCTTTCAATCTCTCGAATGTTCCTCATATTGATTTGTCTCTCGACGACCCCCAAAAGAATAAGAAGTTAGAGGAGAGGGATCAGACACCCGGGGGGCAGACTGGCCAAGCTGGCGCTGCGAGACGGAGGCCATTGTCGAGTTGGTCTTCCTCACGTTTTGTGCCGGATAGCCCGCGAATTCTGAGGGGCAAGGCTCCTACGATTGATTTGTCTCACAACGATACCCCCGGACGTTCGTTACTGGAGGATCGGGCCCAGACCCCCGCGAGACAGACCGGCAAAGCCGGCGCTGCCAGGCGCAGAGCGTTTGCATCTATGGCGCAACCCCACGCAGCCCGGCCAGTGGAGCCCGAGGGTCGTTGGCCCAGCCAGTGGAGCCCACGACGGGGACGAGCAACCCGGGGAGACCCCATCGCCCCAGACGATTGGGACGAACCCCGGGGCGTTCAGGTCGTTCCAATTGCTTTGGACGGGCAAAACGGTCACGACAGCGACGAGCAATTAGGAGAAGAAGACGTGAACTCATATGAAGGTAACTCCGAGCTTGCTGATTTCCACACGTCTCCAGGTCGGGTTGACCCAGAGCTCTCAATCCAGGACCCTATCGGTTGCCCCGTCCCAGACGGTGAGCGATCCGAGGCAGAAACAGTCGATTATCAAGAACACGCTGACCTCGGAGATGCCCTATTGGAACCAGAGGGTGGACAGCCGCCCTCCTCAGATCGTGTTACCCTCTCGTGGCAAGGACCGACGGCCCCCGACCCAGTCGGCGCGGTCGAAGGTGCCTCAGAGCCCTCGGGCGCGAATCTAGGGCAGGCTGAAATCCCGCCTGAGGTTCGCCCGCCAGTTCATCCGACAGCCGGGACCCCGACCAAGTCGGAGGAGCCCTCGTCTAGGTCTCTTCAGCCGTCTAGCCCTGACATCCACACGGTTCAATTTAATTGAGACGGCCTTAAGTATCAATTTCTGGATTCAGTTTCGATTTTCGATTTCGTGCATCATGTATATGTGCGCCATATGTGCAAATGAAGATAGGACATATGGCACGTGCGTATATAATATGCGCATGCCATGTGTGCCAGTGGATATACCCACTGGCACACATGCCGCTAGCGCTGTACATATATAGCGCCAGATTTAACAACGTTCCACACACAAAAAAACACTTTTCCTAGCTCCTCCTCCTCGAGGATCCTCCTTTCCTTCTCATCCTGTTCCTCTCCTCCTCCTTCTCCTCTAGCTTCCTGCTCCTCTCCTCCTGCTCCTTCTCGGGGCTCTCCTTCTCCTCTTCTTCTTCCCCCCCCTGCCTCGCGTTGCCTGCGCGCGTCGCGCTGCCTGCGCGCGCCGCACAGCTGCCGCTTTCGAGCCGCGCGGGCCCGCCGCCGTGGGGCGCCCGCTCGGCAGGCGCCGCGCGCGCCCCCGCCGCGCGCCAGCGCGCGCCGCCAAGGGGCCCAGGCGCCGCAGGCGCTCCGGAGGGGGTTGCAGGAAGAAGAGGAAGAAGGGGGGCTCGCCCGACATGCGTCCGAGGGTGGTTGTGCCAGACCTCGATCGATCACGGGCGACGTATACGTCGCCCGTGATCGATCGAGGTCTGGGTACTGGCATGCCCCCCCGCAAGGCGGATGTCGGGCGAAGTGGTCGTGCCCCTCGAGTTCGCGGACCGAGTGGATGCAGCATGCAGCGCCGCGGGTATACCCACGTGGCGGCCAGAGGACCTGTGTATATATATATATATACATATCGTTCTCCTCCTCCTCTTGGTCCTCCTCCCCTTCTGTTCTTCCATTCCTGGCCTTCTACTCTTCCTCCTGCTCTTCGTCCACTTCCTACACTTGCCTCGGGGGCGTCTTGTCAGATATGTTATGTACGTGTCACAACACCATCCGTCTTCCTCCACGAGATCATACCGACTCGAGTTTTATGTTCTCCTCTAGGATGTTCCCAAGCCGTTCGTGTATTCCTATCGCGTCGGTGATCAGGGGCACAGGGTACCGCGTCAGCTGTGCAGAGCTGCGCGCGCGAAGTTCGTCGTGGCTTATCTTAAACACATGGTTTTGGTCAGAGCCCATCAGGCGCCGATCTCAATATCCTCCTTCATATATGTCTACTCTCCCCCCATCCTCCTCCTACCTCTACCATCTCCTCCGCCTTCTCCCCCACTTCCTTCCTCTTCTCTCCTCCTCCTCTTCTTCTCTCCTCCTCCTCCTCCTCCTCCTCCTCCTCCAACTCCTCCTCCTCCTCCTCCTCCTCCTCCTCCTCCTCCTCCTCCTCCTCCCAGCTCCGCGTTTCATTAAGTGCCCCCTCCACTCCCACGCGAGGCTGCAATGCCGAAGACGATCCCGACGCACAGAAAGACTGCTTCGATCTCAGCCGATGTTCTTCACGAGGCGCCCGCTGCTGGAGGGGGGGCGACCAGCGTGAGCAGCACGTGGGAGGGGTCCCGTCGAGGAGGAGTGGAGGGCAGGAGGAGAGGAATGAGGGTCGGGCAGTGGGAGGGATGGAGCGAGGACGGGGGACGGCGAGACATGCGTATGAATGCATTTCCCCACGTGCGAGGCTCTCACGGTCAACTCCCTGGTGCCAGACATGCCCATGATCGCAGGCACCCGCCCGCCGATGGGAGAACGGGTGCTGATGTTGGTCGCGGCGATGTCGGCATGACGGGGATGACAGCGATACGAGATTCAGTGCATGCACTGAATCTCGTATCGCTGTCATCCGGAGGGCGGCGGCGGTGCATAGGAGGGCGAGAGTGGCGGCGGTGCATAGGAGGGCGAGATGTGGTATCGAGAGTGGCGGTGGTATTTAGGGGCTCGCCCGATCTCAGATCATGTTGTCGTGTTTCTCTCCTGCTGCGCCCTTGGCCCACCCCCCTGCCGCTTGGGCAGGCTACACCATCCCGAACTACGCGTTCTACACTCCGAAGAACTCCTCAGCGCGGCCGCAGTTGAGCGCTATGACGGATCCGCCTTGAGGGATTTGAGACAGGAGGTAAGTGCCATGAGAGGAACAGGGCAAACGATGAGGGGGCTAGATCTCGAGAGGCTGAGGACCAGAACGAGTAGTATACGAGGAGGGTAATGTAGGATCCTAAGATTCACATTAGGAGTATAGGAGTAGAAAAGGAGTTTCGGGGTGTAGGAGTAGGAGTGGAAGTAGAAGTATAGGATCAGGAGGAGGAGGAGGAGGAGGAGGAGGAGCAGCAGCGCTGCAGTAGCGTCGATACATAGCAAATATGAGCAGTAGTGAAGGCGTTCGCGATGATGGTTGTTCTTGTGGAGCTCCTGGGAGATAGGACTTCATCCCCACGCTCGAGAATCTCAATCGTGCGTCCAAGGGCCTCAGGATCAACCAGAGTACGATGGAGGCCCCTAAGGGTTTTATAAAATCGTGCCGCCTGCCTCCAGGGTGTCCCCGTTTCAAGTGGGTCGATCTGGCCTTGAGCATCCCATAGATATGCGATGAGGGGGGCAGGAGAGCCCAACGTACGGCCCACGCCCTTTCCCGCCAGGCGGGCTGGGACGTCAGCTTCAAGAAAAAGTTCACCGAGGGCTACAAGAAAGCTAAAGGACGAGCTCCGACGGCAGACATCATCTCGGGATACAGGTTCCGTGCGGCCGCCTCACTTTGTCTTGCAATTCTTCACTCCTCATCCTCCGCATCTCCCCTATCCTCCTCATCTCTCCTCAGTGTCTCTGTGCGCCTCACTCTCCTCATCCTCCTCATCTCCCTGATTCGTCAGGCCGTCGCTTGATAGTTTATTGCCGACCGCCCGTCAGCCAATCGATTGCCATCATTGGTTATTCACGTAGTGGACTTCTTACTAGGTTCGTTCAGCGTGCGTTGATTTCGCTCACGCGCATAGCCCGAAGGTTCATCCAGTGCCGCCAGCTGAGGATCATGTTAGCCCACTTCCAGAAAGATCAGGCGAAATACTCCACCGAGTCCCCCTCGAGAAACGGCGAGCTGGATTACGAAGCGGACGGGGATGGGGGGGCTCGTTTGATGAGGAGTGACCGTCATGGGAAGAAGGATCCCGAGGAGATAAGCAGGAAGGTCAGGATGAGGACAGGGGGAGGGAGGAAGAGGAGGGGGAGGGGGAGGGGGAGGAGGAGGAGTAGGAGGAAGAGGAGTTCGGGGAGGAGGAGTAGGATGACGATCGGGAGGAGTGGACAGGAGGGGCAGCAGGAGGAAGAGGGCGAGGAGAGTTGGCAGGAGGTGGGTGAGCATCTATACGTGCGATTGGCATTAACGGATTGATATGAGGACGACGTGGGATGCAACGTCTGATCGAGAGACAGTCGGGCTCGGGTCGGGAGAACAAGGACGTCGAGGAACTGAACGATGACGAGCTGCAACGGTACTTCAGCGTAATAAAGGCCGAGACCGATGAGGACTGCCGCTTCTCATCTCGTCATCCTCCTTCTCCTTCTCCGTCTTCTAATTTAAACCTTCTCCTCCTCCTCCGCCCCTCCTCCTCTTCCCCCTTCTCCTGCTCCTCGTCCTTCTCATCCTCATCTTCGATCTCCTTCCTTCTCCTTTTCGACCCCCCGCCCCTGCTCCTCCTCGTCCTCTTCCTCGTCGTCCTATCCTCCTCGTCCTCCTTGCTCCTTCATCTCCTCCTTAATTTTTTGTTTTTGGCCAGGAGAGTGCAACGTTGCCTGTGGTACTCGAGATCGACCCCGACGAGACGCAGAGAGAGGAGCCAGAGGAAGAGGAGCCTGCCACAGAGCAACCACAGACTCTCGAGGAGCAACCACAGACTCTCGAGGAGCAACCACAGACTCTCGAGGAGCAACAAGAAGATGAGCAACCACAGACTCTCGAGGAGCAACAGACGCCGCCACCAGAGGAGGTGGAGCAGCCGCAGACGAAAGAGGAGCCACAGACGAAGGAGGTGGACCAGCCACCGACGGAGCCACCAGAGGATGAGGACGACTTGAAACGCGAGCTGGATGACATTCTTCGTGAGGATATCGAGGATCAGAAACTACCGTTCATTGACAGCTTGATGAACGTCCCTACCGAGCGCAGCAGCAAGAAGAAGAAGCACACAAAAACGAAGAAGGCCAAGGCACCGTCCAGCCCCGCGTTGACAGGTGGCGCGTCATCGATTGCCAGCCCTTTGGGCCCGTGGAGGCCCACTCCAGCACCCAAGAAGACAGCGGCAAAGGCATCGCCCAAGGGGAAAGCAAAGCCGGCAGCCAAACCAATGATTACGATGAAGAGGCCGGCGGGAAAGGCGAAAGCAAAGCCAGCAACCAAGAAGGCAGCCAAGAAGGCTAAACCAGAGGAGGAGCCCGAGCAGGAGGTCGAGGAAGAGGATGAGGAGGCGCACGCGGAGGAGGAGGAGGTTGAGGAGGAGCCAGCCGAAGAAGAAAAAGAAGACGAGATCCAGGAGCTGACAGAACCGACGTGGCCGCCTTCGGACGACACCTACGGCAAGGGACCATACGAGTTCAACACCAGCGATGGCGAGGTCGCCTACCTGAAGACCAAGCGCCGCCACTGCGAGTCCATCAGCTGCATCCAATTCGCAGTCGGCTCCAACCCGTGGAAGCAGATGGTCCAGATCAGCGATGCGTCGTGGCAGGCCTGGCAGCTCGAGAAGCTCAACATGGAGAAGAGTCAGGCGTCCGAGGCGATGATCAAGTACATCTACCAGAAGTTGGCCTACAACAAGGTCAGCACCAAGGAGGGGGCGCTGCAGATGAGGCGCAGCATCTTCACAGAGCTCGGGATCAGCTTGCAGGAGGGGAGTTATGATTGGGCAGCTTGTTCCTCACTATCCTCCACGCGTGCTCATCATCATCACCCTGATCACCCTCAATAGCTCGTCGTCTGTCCCAGCGCGCTGTCGATAGCGCATTCGATTCGAATGGCGGGGGGAAGACGATTGAGGAGAGGCGGAAGGGAGGAGGGCAGGAGCAATGGAGGACCAGCACGGGGGAGGTCAAGGAGGGATGGAGGATGAGCCAAGGAGCGGAGGAGGAGGGAGGGATCGATCCCGAGAGACGGATAGGGGGGAGGCATGATATACCTCGTGAAGAACATGTGCGTATTGCTTGGGCAGCTTCGGAGTTCACCGAGGCCGCCTCTGGGGGGGGGTTACTGCATAGCTAGCGATCGAGCTCCCATGGAATGGCATGTTGCGTGTTCTTTAGCTGTGGCCGTCGGCTCTCCTCGATTGCAAGTCGCCGACTTTCGATCTCTTCCCTGGGGATCCTTTCAACGCCGCCAGGCGTATTGCTGACCGCGCGGGGAGCGCGGCAGATCGATCCTGACCAGCCGCGGGGAGGGTTTGCTTTGCGCAGCATGTGCCACGAGAAATGGCAGATTGTCGATCGCCGTCTTTTGAGCCGCACTTGTTTGCACTGAAAGTCAGCTATCGATCTCCAATTCCAGGTGCTTCTGAAGCCAGCTATGTGTCGCAGTGTCGATGCGATGTGTTGTGTTGCGTTTGCTCTGCGCAGGCTGTCATCAAAACACGTAAGTGGCATAAAACGTTGTAGAAGAGATGAGGCCCCCAAAGTCGCGGCTGGGATTCCAGGATCGGGGGGTGAATGCCCACGTGGAGAAAGGCCCGATGTAGCATGAGGATATGTTCTTCAGTTATCGTCTGAGGATATGTTCTTCAGTTATCGTCTGCCTTGCGTAGTGCTCAAGACTGCTGGAGCGCCCCCCCCCCCACTGGCGATATTGGTCACGCGAGCTGCAGGCGACTGGGGAGATCGAGAGGGAATGGCTGGCGATATCTTGAAATTCGGATGGTCAGGTGGAGGATCGAGGAGGAGAGAGCATGCAGAGGGTGAGGAGGAGTGAACATGACAGGAGAGACTGGAGGAAGGAAGCAGCAAGAGAAGAAGGGGAGGGACGATGCATCGGAGAAGAAGCAGCATGTGCGCGCTAGCCCTGCATGCTGCATGCACTTGAGCTCGAGGTGGGAGAAGGGGCACCTCGAGGAGGGAGGAGTGGCGAAGGAGGACGACTTAGGTGGGAGCGGTGAGGGGAGGAGGCCAGGATGAGGAGGAGGAGCACGAGGGGCACTTGCCACTCTCCCCCTCAATCCCCCTCCCTCTCCCTCTCCCTTTTCTCTCAATCCCTCTCTTATGATATATACCTTGAGTAGTCAAGAAATGCAGTGCAGCGCAGTGCGTCTTATAAATACAGAAAGGACGTAACAACGGTTTGCAGCAGTGATGTTTATGTACGTACGGCTGTTGCCCCTGTTGAGCGGAAGCAGCCGTAGTAGTAGTGACCTGAAGTAGCCGTAGAAGTAGTTACACTAGTAGTACTAGTAGTAAACGCAGTAATATCAGTGTCAGCGGTAAAAGTAGCAGGAGTAGAGTCAGACGTAGTAGTAGTAGTTGTTGTTGTTGTTGTAGTAACACTACTGCTAGTAGCATCAGTAGAAGCAGTAGCAATTGCAGTAGTATAGTTTGAAGAAGTAGCAGTAGCAGTAGCAACGCTAACATGTGTAGTATCAGTAGTAGGTAATGATAAACGCAATAGTAGTAGTAGCAGCAGCAGGAGTATTCATTGATAGTGGTAATACTACTAATAGTAATAGTAGTAGTTGCAGTAAGAGTAGTGTAGTTGTCGTAGTAGCCGTAGTAGTAGTAGCAGGGCGAGTAGTGGCAGTAGAGCTAGTACAAGCAATCCGAGTTGTACTAATTTCGCGGAGGCCTTAAGCAGCCGTATCGCAATAGTGGCGTGGCGTACATGTACTACAGGTGTAGCAACTAGGTACAATATTGTTATTCGTGTCAGTAGTGGCATCGGTAGTGACAGTAGTAATTGCCTATGCGCGTTGCAGTAGTAGCAACACGTTGCAGCCGCAAGTCTAACAAACCGTATTTGCCAGATGACGGGTAATAGTATGCGCAGCAGTGGTAGAATACAGTAAGCGTAAATGGCAGTAGTAGAAATAGTAATGAGGTGGTGTGTACTATATTGGTATTACGAAAGTAGAAGAGACATTAGTAATATGATGTCGCTGTAGGTATACAAGTCGAGCTGCAGTTGCGAAAAGTAGTGGTTGTAGTTGTAGCAGCGGCTGCAGAAGCCGCAATACCAGTAGTAGTCGCAGTAGTAGTACTACAGCAGTAGTAGTAGTAGTAGTAGTAGTAGTAGTAGTAGTATAGTAGTAGCAGTAGTAGTAGTACGTAGCAGTAGTCGTAGTGGTAGTGGTGTAGTAGTAGTAGTAGTAGTAGTAGTAGTAGTAGTAGTAGTAGTAGTAGTAGTAGTAGTGGTAGTAGTAGTAGTAGTAGTAGTTGCAGCAGTAGTACTGTAGTGGTAGTGGTTGGTAGCCGTAGTAGTAGTAGTAGTAGCAGTAGCAGTAGTAGTAGTAGTAGTAGTAGTAGTAGTCGTAGTACTAATAGTGGTAATATTATTAGTCGCGGTAGTGGTAATCGTAGTAGTAGTAGTAGTAGTAGTAGTAGTAGTAGTAGTAGTAGTAGCTTTAGAAGTATAGCTGTAGCAACAGTACGTATACTATATTACTAGTAGTAGTAGTAGTAGTAGTAGTAGTAGTAGTAGTAGTAGTAGTCGTAGTAGTCGTAGTAGTAGTAGTAACAGTAACAGTGGCAGTAGTGGTAGCAGTAGTGGTAGTAGTAGTTGTTGTTGTCGTAGTAGTGGTAGTAGTAGGAGTAGTAGCAGTAGTAGTAGTAGTAGCAGTAGTGCGTCGCAGTGGTAGTCGGGTAATAGTAGTAGCAGTAGTAGCACTAGTAACATACAAACTCGTAATAGTAATTACAGTATGGTAATCGGTAGCGGTAGTAGTAGTAGTAGTAGTAGTAGTAGTAGTAGTAGTAGTAGTAGCCCTCCGTAGCAATATAGCACTGCTCGTGGCAGTAGCAGTAGCAGCATGTTGTGGTAGTAGTAGTTGCAGTAACTAGTTGCAGTAGTACTAGCTATAGTCATAGTAGTAGTAGTAGTAGTAGTAGTAGTAGTAGTAGTAGTAGTAGTAGTAGTAGTAGTAGCAGTAGCCGCTAGTAGTAGTAGTAGTAGTAGTAGTAGTAGTAGTAGTAGTAGTAGCAGTAGTAGTGGTAGTAGCATGTTAACTAGCGGTAGTAACAGTAATAGAACGTTGCACTGCATTTCGGTGAGTCGGGGGGGGGGGGAACCGAAAAATCGATGAAGGGGGGGAGGAAGCGAGGAGGACTGGCTGAGCAGAGTGCGCGCGCCCAGGTGTTGTACGACCTGGGCGCGGATTCCGGCAGGCCGCACATACGTGAAGCGAAGGCGGACTGATGGAAGCCACTACTACTAATAGCAGCAACGCTTTTTTTTTACAGGGGGGCCCCCCCCGCCCCGCCAGCCCGCCGATGAAACACCTGTCCCTGCACGGGCCCCCCCGCCCCCCTGTAGCACCCCGCGAATGCCCCCCCCCCGCTCCGTGTGCCACCCCACGAATGCCCCCAACCCCCCGACCTCGACCCCCCGACCCCCCCCCCCCCCTCCCCCCCCCCCCCCCCGATCGCCACCCAGCGTCGCGGGCCCTTCATTTTTTCCCACCCGCCCGCCCACTTATCGCCGCGTGATGTTTTTTTATGTTTTTTAATGTTTTTTAATGTTTTCTTAACGTTTTCCGATCTGGTAACGTTTTCTAATGTTTGTTGATGTTTTTTGATGTTTGTTGATGTTTTTTAACGTTTGTCGCGTGACGTTTTTTAATGTTTGTTAATGTTTTTTAACGTTCGCTAACGTTTGTTAACGTTTTTTAATGTTTGTCAACGTTTTCTAACGTTTGTTAACGTTTTCCCTTCGCTAACGTTTTCTAATGTTTGTTGATGTGTTTTAATGTTTTCGTAACGTTTGCTGATAATGTTTTTTAATGTTTTTTAATGTTTGTTAACGTTTTTTAATGTTTTTTAATGTTCGTAACGTTTTCTAATGTTTTTTAATGTTTTTTAATGTTTTCGTAACGTTTGCTCGCTGCTGTTGTTTTCTAACGTTTTTTAATGTTTTCTGATGTTTTTTGATGTTTTTTAATGTTTTCCAACGTTTTCCTGTAATGTTTTCTAATGTTTTTTAATGTTTTTTAATGTGTTCTAATGTTTTCTAATGTTTTCTAATGTTTTCTTATGTTTTTTCTCAACGTTTCTTGAAAGATCTTGTGAAGGTGATTCTGGGGCGTTCGAAGTGGTGGGTCGACCATGCCTCGACGAGGAAAGACAAGGCGCGGGGCGGGGCGGGTACGTTTCGGGTGGAGGCTGCATGCGTGGAATTTCACCGTTGCTAGCTAGCGGGCCGCGCGCGCGGCGCGCGCGCGGCCGCGGATCGCGCGCCTGCAGGCGACGGGGAGATATCGGCGCGCGCGCCATGTCTGAATATTGCAACCAAAAAAATGAGGAGGAGGACTGTAGTACGTAGTAGGTACATACATATATATATACACTCTCTTTCCATTTCCCGATCTCTCGACCTCTCCCACGCCTCTGCATCTCACCAACTCGCCCCCCTCTGGTGCTCGACCACCCTCCGGCCTCAAGGATATCCTAGGTCGTCGACCTGCGTCGATCGACGGCGCGCTTGATCACTGTGCGTGCTAGCTTGTATTCGCTTGCCATGTCTGAATATTGCGGTCCAAGCCATGTCTGAATACTGCAAATGTTTCTTGATATATGGGCATGGGGTATAGGCAATGGCACCGAAGCGCAAGCCGCAGACGGCTGAGGCGAAGCGCAAGGCGAAAATGCGCAGGGCCGATCCTGATCGGCAGGCCCACGAAAACGACCTTCAGAGAATGAGGTGGGGCAGGGGACGGACCGCGGTCGAAGTCCGAGGATCGAGGAGGAGGAAGGAGGAGGAGGAGGAGCAGGAGGAGGAGAG